CACACACACACACACACACACACTGCCTATTACACACACACTGCTTATTACACACACACACACACACAAACACCCTGCTTATTACCCACACTCTGCTTATTACACACACACACACACACACACACACACACACACACACACACACACACACACACACACACACACACACACACACTCACTCACTCACTCTCACACACGCACACACACACACACACACACACACACACACACACACTTGCACACACACTTGCACACACACACACACACACACACTTGCACACACTTGCACACACACACACACACACACACTTGCACACACTTGCACACACACACACACACACACACACACACACACACACACACACACACACACACACACACACACTCACTCACTCACTCACTCACTCACTCACACACACACACACACACAAATAAAATGGAAACTTTTGTAATATTATAAATGTCTTCACTGTCACTTTTGATCAATTTAATGTTCTTGCTGAATGAAAATATAAAAGTAGAAATTTTTAATAATTAATTTCTTTCACAAAACAAAATAATTTGCAAGATTAAAATATGTAAATTTCACATTAAAAAGCTGAATACATGCAACATCTGAAAAACTGTTGTGTAAAACGCTCTTCTCCGGTCCTCAAATACATAAAACATCAGCCTTTATTACGGTAATAGTGTTTTTAAGTAAAGAAAACTGTATTTAAACTGTAAAGTGTTTGATTTGGGCTTTTCACAGTCATTTTACGGTTTAATCCTGTAAACCTCATTCATACAGTATTGATTTTATTTGTGCAGGTCTTCAAAAAGATCTTAAAATGTGATTTCTGAAATACGAGCAGAGCCCATGATCATTGACAGTATTTGACAGTATCATCAGATCAGATTTAGATGTTCAGTGTGTGTGCAGTGTGTGAGTAGATGTTCAGTGTGTGTACAGTGTGTGTGTAGATGTTCAGTGTGTGTACGGTGAGACAGGAGGGTCAAAACTCATTCAGATTCAGCAGAGGTTTGGGCTCCGATCTTCATCAGCATTCTGGATGTCTTCTGAGAGAAAATAGATTCTCCTGTAGGGTTTATTGATGTTGCATTTGCAGCGCTCTCAGGAGTGCTTTTGCTGGGAGTGCTGAGAAAACACACACACACACACACACACACACACACACACACACACACACACTGACGCAGTCATATCTGAGTGCTGTTTCTTTTATTGATTCTTTTCCAACAGCGATACACACACTCAAAGGACGCTTCAAACAGATGACAGCATTTCTCTCTCACACACTCACACACACACACACACACACACACACACACACACACACACACACACACACACACACACACACACACACACACACACACGCACACACACACACACACACACACACACGCACACACACACACACACACACACTCATTTCATTCTGCAATTCGGTTTCACACTTACAGTATGGAAGCCCCTTTCTTCCACATACAAAAATACAATCATGCTCTGGTAAGACATCAAAAGTGGAAATTATGAGACTAAATCATAATTATGAGATGAAAATCACTAAAAGTCATAATTATGGCAAACAAAGTCGAAATTACAACAAAAGTGGAAATTATATGACTTAATTTTTTTTTATCATGAAATACTAAATTGATATATGACATTAAAAAGTCACTCTTATGAAGCTGAAAGTATGACATATCAAGTATGAGTTTTTATCTCATAATTATGACCTTTTCTCTTAATTTTGGCTTTCTGTCAAAGTTATGACAGTATCATCACTTCAAATTTGTATCTCATAATTATGATTTAGTATGTCATAATTTCACACTTCTATCTCATAATGTTGTTAGTATATCATCATTTCAATTTTTTATCTCATAGTTATGACTGTCATAATTTTGACTTTTTATCTCATAGTAATGACAGTCCTAATTTTAAATTTGTATCTCACAATTATGATTTACTATGTCATAATTTCACATTTTTAATGATTTATACATCCAAGTTGATTGTACTTAAAAATTTAAGGCAGCAACTTTTTTCTTTTTTTAACAGTGTTAAAACAGTGTATTATTTCATGCATTCCCTGTGTGATTATGGCGTAGCAGCATGTTAAAAGTCAAACTGGGAATGAATATTGAGTCCATCAGTCCTGAAGAGCCGTATATAGAGCATCACTTGAGCCGTTCATGTAGCCAGAGGGGTTTAAAGCCCAATCATGTCCAAAACTTCCCCTGACATTTCTGACAAATGAACAAAAAATCTGTCGGGAAAGCTGTTCTCCCACGGCTGACGTTCGGCTGAGTCTCGTTAGGGCTTGACGACTCTACTCTGCTCTAATTAACCTCACGGTTGCCAGAGATTGAGTTTATGCAGATAATCCAGGCATGTTTATGAATGCAGATAATACAGGCGTGTTTATGAATGCAGATTATCCAGATGTGTTTATGAATGCAGATTATCCAGATGTGTTTATGAATGCAGATTATCCAGATGTGTTTATGAATGCAGATTATCCAGATGTGTTTATGAATGCCGATAATCCAGATGTGTTTATGAATGCAGATTATCCAGATGTGTGTATGAATGCAGATTATCCAGATGTGTTCATGAATGCAGATTATCCAGATGTGTGTATGAATGCAGATTATCCAGATGTGTTTATGAATGCAGATTATCCAGATGTGTTCATGAATGCAGATTATCCAGATGTGTTCATGAATGCAGATTATCCAGATGTGTGTATGAATGCAGATTATCCAGATGTGTTTATGAATGCAGATTATCCAGATGTGTTTATGAATGCAGATAATCCAGATGTGTTTATGAATGCAGATTATCCAGATGTGTTTATGAATGCAGATTATCCAGATGTGTTCATGAATGCAGATTATCCAGATGTGTTCATGAATGCAGATTATCCAGATGTGTGTATGAATGCAGATTATCCAGATGTGTTTATGAATGCAGATTATCCAGATGTGTTCATGAATGCAGATTATCCAAATGTGTGTATGAATGCAGATTATCCAGATGTGTGTATGAATGCAGATAATCCAGATGTGTTCATGAATGCAGATTATCCAGATGTGTTCATGAATGCAGATTATCCAGATGTGTTCATGAATGCAGATTATCCAGATGAATGAATGCAGATTATCCAGATGTGTTTATGAATGCAGATTATCCAGATGTGTTTATGAATGCAGATTATCCAGATGTGTTTATGAATGCAGATAATACAGGCATGTTTATGAATGCAGATTATCCAGATGTGTGTATGAATGCAGATTATCCAGATGTGTGTATGAATGCAGATTATCCAGATGTGTTTATGAATGCAGATAATCCAGATGTGTGTATGAATGCAGATAATCCAGATGTGTGTATGAATGCAGATAATCCAGATGTGTGTATGAATGCAGATAATCCAGATGTGTGTATGAATGCAGATAATCCAGATGTGTGTATGAATGCAGATAATACAGATGTGTGTATAAATGCATATTATCCAGATGTGTTTATGAATCCAGATTGTCCAGATGTGTTTATGAATGCAGATAATCCAGATTTGTGTATGAATGCAGATAATCCAGGCATGTTTATGAATGCAGATAATCCAGATGTGTATATGAATGCAGATAATCCAGATGTGTGTATGAATGCAGATAATCCAGATGTGTTTATGAATGCAGATAATACAGGCGTGTTTATGAATGCAGATTGTCCAGATGTGTGTATGAATGCAGATAATCCAGGCGTGTTTATGAATGCAGATAATCCAGATGTGTGTATGAATGCAGATAATCCAGATGTGTTTATGAATGCAGATTGTCCAGATGTGTGTTTGAATGCAGATAATCCTGATGTGTTTATGAATGCAGATAATCCAGATGTGTGTATAAATGCAGATTATCCAGATGTGTGTATGAATGCAGATAATCCAGAAGTGTGTATGAATGCAGATAATCCAGATGTGTTAATGAATGCAGATAATCCAGATGTGTGTATGAATGCAGATAATCCAGATGTGTGTATGAATGCAGATAATCCAGGCATGTTTATGAATGCAGATAATCCAGGCATGTTTATGAATGCAGATTATCCAGATGTGTGTATGAATGCAGATTATCCAGATGTGTGTATGAATGCAGATAATCCAGATGTGTTTATGAATGCAGATTGTCCAGATGTGTGTATGAATGCAGATAATCCAGGCATGTTTATGAATGCAGATAATCCAGATGTGTTTATGAATGCAGATTGTCCAGATGTGTGTATGAATGCAGATAATCCAGGCATGTTTATGAATGCAGATAATCCAGATGTGTTTATGAATGCAGATTGTCCAGATGTGTGTATGAATGCAGATTATCCAGATGTGTGTATGAATGCAGATAATCCAGGCATGTTTATGAATGCAGATAATCCAGGCATGTTTATGAATGCAGATTATCCAGATGTGTGTATGAATGCAGATAATCCAGATGTGTGTATGAATGCAGATAATCCAGATGTGTTTATGAATGCAGATTGTCCAGATGTGTGTATGAATGCAGATAATCCAGGCATGTTTATGAATGCAGATAATCCAGATGTGTTTATGAATGCAGATTGTCCAGATGTGTGTATGAATGCAGATAATCCAGGCATGTTTATGAATGCAGATAATCCAGATGTGTGTATGAATGCAGATAATCCAGATGTGTTTATGAATGCAGATTGTCCAGATGTGTGTATGAATGCAGATAATCCAGGCATGGTTATGAATGCAGATAATCCAGGCATGTTTATGAATGCAGATAATCCAGATGTGTTTATGAATGCAGATTGTCCAGATGTGTTTATGAATCTAGATAATCCAGATGTGTTTATGAATCCAGATAATCCAGGCATGTGTGAATAGCATTATGATGGATCGGGAATGTAATGACTCAAGTGGCTCTTGTCTGTGTGTGTGTGTGTGTGTGTGTGTGTGTGTTTGCAGGAGTGTGTGTTCGTGTACCTGTTGGAGGCGGAGTCTCGGCTGCGCTGTGAAGATCCGCCCCATGAGGTGCCGATGGAGGGGAAGCTCAGGTAAGGGGCGGGGCTTCTGCTAATCTGCTAATCACCTATGGGTGCATGTGGTAATATAGCGGTTTTATATATTAACTTTTTTATTTTTAATGTACAATTATAGCACTATATTTTACGTTGGCATTGAATTACAGAAAACTAGTTATAGTTATATCGTTTTTGTTAATATTTTGAACTATATTCAATTTTTTTCTCATTTTGTTGTCATTTTGTTTTTAAAATATGTCTGATTAGTTTTTTAAGTTTAATTTTTGTTTTATTTTATTTTATTAGTGAAATAAAATGTTTATTTCAGTTAATGTTTTTATTTCAAGTAATAAAAACTAAATCATAAGTATGTGATTAAAAAATTCTAAATTATGATATAAAAAGTCAGAATTATGAAAAATTAAATTGATATTTGAGATAAAATGTCAAATTTATGACTTAGACAGTTGATAGTATGACATACTAAATTTAAATTATGGCTTAAAAAGTCATAATTGTGACTTAAAATGTCGAAATGATGACATAAAAATTTACAATTATAACAAAAAGCAATAATTCTGAGATAAAAACTTGAAATGATTTTTTCTCATAATTATGACTTATACGTAATATTATATAATATATAATTATATATATTTGTTATAATTTTAACTTTTTAAACACTTTTATGAACACAATAGACAAGATAGATAAAATATGTAAGTACAAAATACACAGCAAGTTTGGAGGTGCATTTGAGGATGATTTGTGTGTTCTTCACACGAGTTCACTGTCAGTTTCAGCTCTTGTGTGTGCGTGCGTTTGTGTGTGTGTGTGTGTGTGTGTGTGTGTGTGTGTGTGTGACACTGGATGTTTTGTGTCAGTGTTTTATATGGTTTGCTGGTTGTTCTGAAGACAAATGAAGAGATTTTCTGATGTTGTGGTAGATTTGTCTCTCACCCCTGATGAACACACTGATTCCTGTTGTGTGAGAAATGTCAGAATGGAGCGCTCGCCTTTTCTCTCTTCTTTCTGAATAATGACACGTCAATCACATCTGACCTCTGACCTCTGCTCCCGTACCTCGTAACATTGTAAAAGTCAAAGCAGTTTCTTGTGTTTGTGTGCTCAAATTCCTATGGAAGCTTGTTTACGCCACGGAATATAAAAATAAAACTTTTTTTCTCACAATTGTAAGATTATATTAATGTTAGCATACTTCCTTTTTTCTCATTATTCTGGAAATTGAGTGCACTTTTGCACTTCACCATGGATCTTTTCCTTTCTGCTAATGGTTCTGATGTCAAGCTGTAAATCAAATCGAAAGCCCCCCTGAATTTAGATCCGCCCACTTCTCCCCCTCTCTAATTAATTGGCCGCTTGCAGTGATTGACAGTTATATTCCTGGTTGCCCAGGGAAACCAGATCCGAGTGTCAGCCGGTTTGAAAGTGCTGAGCATTACATCATATATATATATATAGAGAGAGAGCTGCAACTTATTAAACCGAAACGGCCACGCAATGACATTTCATGACAGTTCTGCTTAGAAAAACATCACATTTTCTATTGAGAATGTAAAAATTAAGTTATTTTTGCTGTTGCCTTCGGAGCTGGTCGCAGAAATGACACGCAGGAGCTTTAATAAAGCGGGACCGACAAACACACACACACACACACACTCACACTCACACACACACACACACGTTTACTTGGCTATCTGAATGGCGACTCTCCATAGACGTAATGGTTTTTATACTGTACAAACTGTATATTCTCGTATACTAACCCTAACCCTAAACCTACCCATCACACACACACACACACTTCTTAGCTGTCCATCGTGTTCGATGATGACGCTTGCTCCAGGGATTGGGGTTGGGCTGGGGTTCAGCAACCTTGCCGCTGGTGCCACTTCTCGTGAGCGTCGAGTCCGATCCTTGAGCCGCACACTCGTCCGCAGATGGAGCAGGGGAAACCAGATACCAGGGGGGTACCAGCCGCTCACTGGTGTCTCTTGATGCGCCTCTCGGATCGTCGGTCTTGGTTGGTTTGGTGTATTTGAGAGACAGCAGTGGCACAGGTGACCTGCCAGGCTGATCTGTCGAGTGCCAGTGATTCAAGCTGTGTGAGGGTGTTCGCTCGCTTTAGGAGGTCCCTGGTATAGTCCTTAAAATGCCACTTTTGTCCTCCAGCGGAGCACTTAGCGCCCATTAGTTGACTGTAGAGGACTTGGCGGGGCAGGCGGTGTTCAGGCATGCGTATGGTGTGCCCTACCCAACGCAGTTGTTTTTTGGCCACAGCTGATCCATACAGATTGAGTCAGTGTTGATGAGGATGACTGTATGGGGGATTCAATCTTTTCAGGACAAGCTGAGGATCTTCTGTAGGCAGCGGGTGTGGAAGGCCTCTAGGGTGATGATGTGCTGGCGGTATGGGGTCCATGACTCTGCCCCATAAAGCAGAGTGGAGAAACATACCGCCTTGTAAACATTGACCTTGTTACTAACCTTCAGGTTACAGTTTTCAAAAACCCTGCTGCGTAGGCGTCCAAAAGATGATGAGGCTTTATTTATCCGAGTGTGTATTTCTGTGTCAAGGGAGCTGCATGAGGACAAAGTGGAGTCGAGGTAGGTGAAGTGGTCCACTGTTTTAAGTGGAACACCATTTATGTGAAAACTGGGGGATATGGGGGCGGGGGTGGTGAGATGGGACATGATTTTGGTTTTTTGAGTGTTAACCTGTAGGCCAAAAGATTGGTAGTCAAGTCAAGTCAAGTCATCTTCATTTATATAGCGCTTTTAACAATGGAGATTGTTTCAAAGCAGCTTTACAGAGATAAACATACAATTTACGGTAACAGAGATTGTTTTGGCTTTATAGCGATTTTGAATAATGTTATTTACTGAGGTCGATGAAGGCTACGTAAATGTCTTTGTGATGTTCTCGGCTCTTCTCCATCAGCTGCCTCAAGACAAAAAACATGTCTGTCGTGGATCTGTTCTTCCGGAAGTCACACTGCGTTTCCGGAATCACAGCTTCCGAGATGTGCTCAACCAGTCTGCTGAGCATGATCTTGGCCAGGACTTTCCCTGCGATGGAGAGGAGAAATATCCCGCAGCTGTTGCCGCAGACTGCTCTGTCTGCTTTCTGCTTGTAAATGACCACGATGTTAGCATCCTTCCAGTCCTGTGGGAGGGTCCCATGTTCCCAGATGTTTTGGATCAGGAGGTGCAGGTGACGCGTGAGGATGTATCTTCTGTGTTTGAAAACCTCTGCAGGGATTCCATCGGGTCCAGCACTTTTGTTGTTCTTCAGCCCAGCAATAGTTTGCCGAAGTTCTGGGTAAAGTGGTGGAGTGTCCAGGTGCATGGTTGGTGGAAGATCTTGCAGATTATCCAGGATATGTGGGTCAACAGGGTTGGTGTGGTTGAAGAAACTCTCAAAATGATTTACCCAATGGGCAAGAATCTCGTGGCTGTCCTTGAGGAGCGTGGACCCGTCAGCTGATCGGACTGGGGCAATCGCACGCTTCCTGGAGCAGTGAAGGTGGTTATATGGGTGGGAGATCCAGGGCAGGACAGGAGAGCTTTGTGGGCTTCATGCTTGGTTTTTAGAAGTGACTCTATCTCAGCTGAGTTACAGTCAAACCAGTCCTGCTGATGTTTCCTTGATTGACCGAGCGTCTCTGAGTCTGCGTTATGAATAGCCTGGCTCAAAGCTGGCCAGTCAGCTGATTCCTCCGGGATCATGTTGAGGTTTTTAGCAAGGAGCCGTCAGAGGTTGTCTTTGCTGGTGATGCTGTTCAGTTTAGTTTCTTGTTTGGAGCTGTCCTCGGGCCACAGGAATGCTCATGAGTAGTTTGGATCTGACCATGAGGTGATTAGTCCAGCACTCAGCTCCGTGCATGACACGGGTGGTGAGGACATCTTGTCTGTATTTTTGACGGACAATCACGTAGTCAAGGTGATGCCAATTTTTTGAGCGAGGGTGCAGCCAGGTGGTCTTGAGCCTGTTCTTCATCTGGAAGATGGTGTTAGTAATGACCAGCTGGTGCTCTGCACAGAGGGAGAGGAGTCTAAGCCCATTGCGGTTCATTTTCCCCACACCATGCTGGCCGATGACTTTACTTCATACCAGATGCTCCGTACTCACTCTAGCATTGAAATCTCCCTTGAGTATGAGCCTGTCCGTAGCCAGAGCTTTCTGTAGGATGGCATCAAGAGCTCTGTAGATATCCTCTTTAATGTTGTACTCGGCATCAAGAGTTGGAGCGTATGCACTGATGAGAGTGGCGAAGCGTTCCTTTGCCTAGGGAATGCACCATGTCATCAATCTTTCATTGATGCCGATAGGGGTTTCCGGAATGCGCTGCAGCAGTTTAGACTTCACAGCAAAGCCAACTCCATGATTACGACGAATGCCTTCGGGGACCCGCTTCCAGAAGAAGGTGTACCCAGCACCAACCTCTGTCAAAGAGTCCTCCCCATGTAGTCTGGGTAGCAAGAAGCTTGCGCATAGGTGAGGATAAAGGTGAGGGTGTGAGTGGGCAGACCTCACTCCCACCATCTTCACTCCTGCCAGATGGACCTCTACTGGCATGAGGGAACCCATGACGACCTTCGTCTGGCAGGAGTTGCAGGGGGCTGCCGGTGGTCCGGTCAGTTGGACTCCGCCTTTGCCTGTCCCTAGGTTCAGATTTGTCTATGGGGTTTGCTCCCCTAGCCACTGTACCCTCCCGAGTTAACCCACGTGGCTGTGGAGTTGCCTTCTTCCTCCTTCCCAGCCGCTGTGGTGGTTCTCACACCACCATCCACCTGAGTGGTTCTCACACCACCATCCACCATCCACCGTTGGGGTCTTCACTATATACCCATAGCTATTTACCCATTTACCCATAGCACACACACACACACACACACACACACACACTAACCCAACCCCTAAACCTACCCATCACACACGCACGCACACACACACACACAGACTCCTAGGGAGCGTCGACCTTCTCAGCGATCCGTGTGATCAGTCAGTC